GTTAGTTTAATCTGATTATTTAATCTGGTTAGTTTAATCTGATTATTTAATCTGGTTAGTTTAATCTGAGCATTTAATCTGGTTAGTTTAATCTGGTTAATATAATCTGATTATTTAATCTGGTTAGTTTGATCTGCTTATTTAATCTGGTTAGTTTGATCTGAGCATTTAATCTGGATACATTAATATGGTATTAATCTGGTTGGTTTAAATCTCATTATTTAATCTGGTTAGTTTGATCTGATTATTTAATCTGGTTATTTAATCTGGTTAATTTAACCTGGTTATTTAATCTGGTTAGTTTGATCTGCTTATTTAATCTGGTTAGTTTGATCTGAGCATTTAATCTGGATACATTAATATGGTATTAATCTGGTTGGTTTAAATCTCATTATTTAATCTGGTTAATTTAACCTGGTTTATTTAATCTGAGTATTTAATCTGGATACATTAATCTGATTAGTTTAATCTGAGTATTTAATCTGGTTAGTTTAATCTGAGTATTTAATCTGGTTAGCATAATCTGGCTACTTTAATCTGGTTATTTGTATCATATTATTTAATCTGGTTATTTTAATCTGGCTAGTTGCATCATATTTAATCTGGTTAATTTGATCTGATATTTAATCTGGTTACTTTAATTTGGTTAGTTAATCAGTTTAGTTTAATCTGATTATTTAATCTGGTTAGTTTGATCTGGTTATTTAATCTAGTTAGTTTAATCTGGTTAATTAATCTGATTAGTTTAATCTGGTTAATTAATCTGGTTAGTTTAATCTGAGCATTTAATCTGGTTAGATTAATCTGAGCATTTAATCTGGTTAGATTAATCTGAGCATTTAATCTGGTTAGATTAATCTGAGCATTTAATCTGGTTAGTTTGATCTGGCTAATATAATCTGATTATTTAATCTGGTTAGTTTAATCGGATTTAATCTGGTTAGTTTAATCTGAGCATTTAATCTGGTTATCTTAATCTGAGCATTTAATCTGGTTAGTTTGATCTGGCTAATTTAATCTGGTTAATTTGATCTGAGCATTTAATCTGGATACATTAATATGGTATTAATCTGGTTGGTTTAAATCTCATTATTTTATCTGGTTAGTTTAACCTGGTTAATTTAATCTGAGTATTTAATCTGGATACATTAATCTGGTTAGTTTAATCTGAGGATTTAATCTGGTTAGTATAATCTGAGTATTTAATCTGGTTGGTTTAAATCTCTATTTACTCTAGTTACTTTAATCTGGCTACTTTAATCTGGTTATTTGTATCATATTATTTAATCTGGTTATTTTAATCTGGTTAGTTTTATCAGATATTTAATCTGTTTAGTCAATCTGGTTAGTTTTAGTGAGTGAATATTTAAGTAGGTATTTCTTGTGGGAGTGGTTGGGGAAAGCTGTGATTGGTCAGATTGATATGTGGGCGTGGTCTGTGAGTGTAACAGGTAACAGGTACTTTATGAATTTTAATTTCAGTCATAACTGGAGACAGGAAGTTACTATCTGTCAATAATAATAAGTACATGTTTAAGTTTTTACCATTACTTCACCTCAATCTGACCAATCACATCTTACCCAAGCCACGCCCCTCCCTAAGACACTCCCACCTGGTGACATCAGAGACTAAAAGTTCAGCTGAGATAAAAACAGGTTTCAGATCTGAATGTAGGAGGCGGGCTGATTTTATTCAATTTTATTTTGTTTATTTTATATTTTGTTTTATTTGATTTGATTTAATTTTATTTAAATTTTATTTTATTTTATTTTATTTTATTCTCGGTTGCCTCTAAAGGTTCTGACCCGTTAGATGGGAGGAGAGCGGTGTTGATTTCCAGAACCTGTCTGCTGATCCGACCCAGATGTTCCACATGTTTGGACCGGGTCTGGACCAGAACCCACAGAAACAATTTACACCTGATGAAGATGATGAAGATGAGCAAAACCTCTGATGGAAACATGTGGCAGCATTTATCTGAGCCGGTCCAGAACCTTCTGTGCTGCAGTAAACCAGTGTGGGTCGCCCACCTGAACTAAGACTGTTCTTTCTGTTGATGCTGGCTGTGGTTGCCACGGTAACCGGACTGTTGTTGTTGTCGTTGTTGTTGTTTTGGCTGCTGCTTCAAACGTGTTTGTTTGTTTCACAAAGCTGCTGAGCCTCAGGAGCCCCTCGGAGCGGGGGGCTCCTGGCAGCGGGTCAGTGAACGCAGCAGAGACTCCTACAGAAGCCTTAAACTCTGGTTCTGAACACGACCCGCAAAAACCCAAACAAGCCATGTCTGTTAGGTTCCTGTCACCAGCAGAACCACAAGAATGTCTCCTCAGATCACAACCTGGACTGATCAGAACCTGGACCCATCTGAACCAGGACCCCTCAGAACCAGGACCCATCAGAACCTGGACCCATCAGAACCTGGACCCATCAGAACCTGGACCCATCAGAACCAGGACCTATCAGAACCAGTTCTTTATTCTGTCCCTGTTGCTGCTTGTTGCTCTGCATGAAGCTAACGGCTGAACGGGTCAGAACCTGAACCCCTCCAGAACCCTCTGGACCAGTACCGGTCCAGCCCCCTCAGTTCTAGGGTTTTGGGACAAAATAAAACTGATCTGGTTCTGAGGTGGTTCTGACCTCTTTTGGACCCGTTCAGTTGTAGACCAGCTGCTGGGTTCTGGATCAGGTTTCTGTTGGAGCCAGTTTGGTCCAAGCTCAGGTCTAGACCCTCTGGTCTACAGAGGACTTCCTGGTCCTTTCAGACAGCAGCTGTTGGCTGCAGTGCATTCTGGGTAAACATCTGTGTTCTGGTTCTGGTCCAGAAGGCCTCTGGTTCCTTCAGATGTGGGCTGAGAGACCAGGACCAGGTGAGGACCATGTAGGAAGTGGTCTCAACAGAGCTTTGGTCCAAAGGTAGCCCCTCGGTCTGGATGGACCTGGGTCCTGTGGGTGGTCCTGTATGGACCCTGGTCCTGTGGGTGGTCCTGTGTGGATCCGGGTCCTGTGGGTGGTCCTGTGTGGACCCGGGTCCTGTGGGTGGTCCTGTATGGACCCGGGTCCTGTGGGTGGTCCTGTGTGGACCCGGGTCCTGTGAGGAGCAGGTGGATCTGAAGTCTGAGGTAAAAAATGCTGAGTCACTTTTCCAGTTTTGCTTCGTCGTGTTTCAGAACCTTTCTGCAGGACTTCAGAAGTCTTCAGAACTTTGACCCAAGTCTTTGGACGACACTAACGTCTTTAACTGTGACTCACCTGGTGGGGGGGTGGAGTCTCTCTGAGGGACCCACCAGGTGTGTGGGGAGCAGGTGAGGCTTGCCTCCGCCTCCAGGTGGGTCTGATGTTCTGGAGCTTCTTGTCTGATGCTTGGTCCTCCTCCTGACAGGAAGTGAGCATGTTCCTGTAGCTGGGGGAGGGGCCTATACTACAGGGGGCGGGGCCTGCAGCACTAATGAGCTGAGCTGCTCCCATGATGCTTTGCAGCAGCGTGGCGTCAGACAGGAAGCTGCAGAACCTTCTGTGTACATACATGATAGAACCTGTTCCTCAGAGCCAGTGTGGCCCCGCCCCTCCTCAGCACTGAGTGGTTCTGAGGTTGATTGACATGAGTGGGCGGGGCCTGCTTTTATTTTTCTGGGACAGGTGTGAATGTTTAACCCGTTAGTTACTGGAAACGTTTAAAAGAAAATATTTTTATGGATTTTAGATGTAAATGTTTTCTACAGTTTGAGGCTCACACACCGGGTCGACCCGAATAAAAACATTCATCTGAACCCATGGTGGTAGGGTCTTTTTTTTACCTGTGCTCACCTGTGTTTACCTGTGATCACCTGTGTTTACCTGAGTTTACCTGTGTTTACCTGTGCTCACCTGTGTTTACCTGTGCTCACCTGTGTTTACCTGTGCTCACCTGTGTTTACCTGTGCTTACCTGTGCTCACCTGTGTTTACCTGTGCTCACCTGTGTTTACCTGTGCTCACCTGTGTT